GGGGGATTGAACCGCGGTCCCTGTGCTTTGCTTAGCTTAGCTTGTTCTAAGTAGGTGCTTTAGACCACTGAGCCATCTCACCAGCCCCTCACATAGAAAATATTTAAAAATTTGTATGCATACTCAATACTTACAGATTTGTCTTTATTCTCTAAATGATTCAGTACAACTATTTACATTGTACTAGCTATAAGTAATCCAGCGATGACTTCAAGGACACAGGAGGCTCTCTGTACGGATATCTGCAAATATAACAGCATTTTACAAAAAGGCGTGTCTTGCAGGTGCTTTGGAGCCAGTCCCCCATAGACACTGAGGGGTGACAGTGATGAGAAAAGGCAGGTGTGTAAGTGGCTTTAGGTGGGTGACTCCTGTCCAACTACTTCAGGGAAGGCGTCACAGAAAAGACAATAAAACTGCACACATTCGATGTAGATTATGGAGGAAATGAAGGAGGGGATAAAGGAACAATATAATAAAGGGAAATAATTAAAGATAGTTTACAGGTAGACTTGTGTGCATTATTTTATACTCAAATTATGATGAGATTTTTCATACATTACCCCTCAAATAGATAGGACTATCATACTTACAATTCATCTAGATCCACAATTTAAAGGTACAGTATATTATTTCAAACACATCACAAATTGTAACTGAACTATTAAGTCTTTTTAAAATTTTTGGTCTTTTTGAGAGTCTTGCTATGCAGTTCAGGCTTGCCTTTAGGTCACTTTGTACAGTCCTGCCTCAGCTTCTGGAGTGCTGGGATTATAGGTGTATGCCACCAAGCTGGGCATAAACTGTTAAATCTTGAATAAGCACCTTTTGTAACCTCTAAAATGGAAGATCAGCTATGGTAAACCAGCATGACAAACACATAATCTGGGGGCCTGGGAGAGAGCGCAGTACAATAAGGGCTTGCCTGGCAAGCGCAAGGGCCTGAGTTCAATCCCTAGTTCTGCAAAAATAAAATAAAATAAAATAAAATAAACACATAATCTGGGTTACCTACAGCTTTCATATTACTGGCTTAGTTTAACTTTAGGATGTTATTGGAAATTTTATTTATTTTAAACAACACCTTTTTATTATTTTTATTAATTTTGCCGTATCAGGGATCGAACTCAGGACCTTCCACTTGCCAGGCAGGTGCTTAAGCCACTGAGCTGTATCCCCAGCCCTGGAAATTTTTTTTTTTCAGTACCAGGGATCAAATTTAGGACCTTATGCTTGCCAGGCAAGCACTTATTCCACTGAGCTATCTCCCTGGTCCCCTGGAAATTTTTTGATACATTTTTTCATCAGGTAGACTAATTGACACGGTAACAGGAAAGAGGAAGAGTAATACATACATAATGACTCCAACAGAAGTTTGCAGATTTTTCAGCTAACCTGCTTTATCTAGGAAGGCTTCCAGCACGAGTCAAGTTATCTGAGAATTGTGCAGAATTAGGTAATACAGGATTTTTTTTTCGCAGGTTTGAGGTATACGAAGAGAACAAAGTGGGGGCCAGCTAAACAGCTTGCCGTGCTGACCTCGCCCCTGTGGCACACTGAGACAGCAATTGAGTCTGGGCATGGTGGCATGCGCCTGTAATCCCAGCACTTGGGAGGCTGTAAGCAGAATTACCACGAGTCCGTTCTAATAGTAAGACCTTGAGCACGCTGTAGATGCTTCCCTAAAAAAGAAAAAAAAAAAAGTTGACTACTGTAAAACTCTTTGGAGTTTCTGGTTTGGTGTATGATTTAGGATTGACTTTCACTTTCATACATGCTAAAAACCTTTGGACATTAAAATTATTTTGGACTGAATTTTGCTCTGATATATGCTTGATTCCAGCACAGCCCTTTTACACAAAATCAGGCACTGAGGACTTTACCTGTATTAACTCATTTAATTCTTTCAATAATTCTAAGAGATTGTCATTTTATTGATGAAGATATAGGTTGGTAAAAAAGCATAATTTGAAGCTAGGTATTCTAATTCTGGAATTCTTGGATTGATTGAGACAGGGTCTCACTATATTGCTCTGGTTGTCCTCAAAGTCCTTGACTCAAAAAACCAAAAAAAAAAGTCCTTGACTCAAGTGATCCAACCTCAATCTCTCGTCCTGGGATCATACACATGTGCAACTGTGCCTGTTTTCTTTCTTTCTTTCAGTACCAAGGATTGAACTCAGGACCCTGTGCTTGTCAGGGAAGTGCTTAATCTATTGAGCTGTGTCCCCAGCCCCCTGGTTTTGGAATATATATGTATTATTTTTTTAAAGTGTCTTTTTCAGTCAAGGTCTCGCTATACAGCTTAGGGATGGCCTTGAGCTCAGTTTGTAGCCTAGGCTGGTAAAATATATATTCTTAATATGTAGGTAGACTATGCTGCTTTCAGAAAGAGGACAGCACCAATTCTGGAATTTTTTCTTAGGCTTCTTCACACTATAAACTCATAAACTATGGCATGCTATTTTTCAGGGTTCACCTAGTTGAAAACCTATCACTGTAACAGTCTCCCTTTATAGTGCAGGCTTGCCTTGAGGGCACTATGTAAACTAAGTCTGGCTTCAAACTGGAGGCTATCCTCCTGCCTCTCAAGTGCTACCTTTTGGTATGTTTTTAATGTGACATATGAAGACGATTATCTTCTCTAGTACTTCATCCTATTATTTAATTCTTTAGCTTTCCAGCGACCACCAGTAGTCATTCTTTCTGGTTAAGAACATGGTGGATCTCAGAATCTTTTTTTTAAAAAGCCTAACATATTTCCTATGTTAAAAAAAACCCAACTGCATAGTTTATTCATACTGATTAGGCCAGCCTGCAGTTTTAAGTCTGCTTTGAAAGAGAAATCCACTATTCTAAAGTTCATGATCCAAGATAACGAGATTTTCGGCTTTGAACAACACGAACGACGTCTCTTACAACTACGCGCTGGGTTTGGTGTGTTCACTACATTACAGCACTTTGAAGGATGTTCATAGGTGACACACTAATTTATTATCAGCGGACACTACAGCTGTCAAACTGACGACCTTTTTGCTCGCCTTACGCTTGACAGTAGGAAAACCTGGGGAAACTATGTGCTTCCGAGAGACCACGGTTGGGAATGGCGCTGAGAAGTAACTTCGGGGGGCTGTCTTCCCACGTTCACGTACAGACACAGCGCGACCGCGACCGGCCGCCCGCTCGCCCCCGCGGCGGGTCACACCTCCGCGGGCTGCCCGGAGGCCCGCAGCCCGCAGCCAGGACCCTCGCCG